GGATTAAACATGACAATAGGTCTGATCTGATTTCATCATCATTTAAAAAAAAAATCATCTTATTATTTTTCACCTTTTATGTTTTCTGTGTGGGAAACAAAACTGTTTGAAATCCTTACTTTAGGTATTACTAAGCTGATCTTCTGTATATAAGATAATCGAAAATGAATCTTGATGTGAATGGAAGGGGAGAGGGAGTGGGAAAGGGGAGGGTGGTGGGTTGGAGGGACCGTATGGGGAGTATGGGGGGGAAAGCCATTGTAAGTCGTTCTTTGGAAATTTATATTCCTTTAATTAAAGGTTAAAAATTAATTAATTAATTAATTAATTATCAAGGTTACTATCTCCAGCAATAAGACACATCAATAACTATTCCCCTTATCAATGCTGCCAATTCTACTGTTCATTCTGGCTTAAATTCTTAAAATCACTTAGAAATTTTCCTTCCACCTTATACCTTTACTAGCAGACTAAAAAGTGTAGTAGAATTGAAATGACCTAAGCAAGATAAGGAACAATTCCCAGTGGTACAAATTGATAAGGAGGCCAACGCCACGGCTCACTTGGCTAATCCTCCACCTGCGGCGTCGGCACCCCGGGGTTCTAGTCCTGGCTGGGGCGCTGCGCTGGATGCTGTCCCGGTTGCTCCTCTTCCAGTCCAGCTCTCTGCTGTGGCCCAGGAAGGCAGTGGAGGATGGTCCCAGGCCTTGGGCCCTGCACCCGCATGGGAGACCAGGAGGAAGCACCTGACTCCTGGCTTTGGATCGACGCATCACGCCGGCCGTAGCAGCCATTTGGGGGGTGAACCAAAGGAAAAAGGAAGACCTTTCTCTCCCTCCCTCCCTCCCTCTCTCTCTCTCTCTCACTGTCTAACTCTGCCTGTCAAGAAAAAAAAAAGTGATAAGGAGACCACACACATGAAAACTCTGGTCTGTTCCTCTGTAAAACACACTATTTACTGCAGAATGTACCTAATGCAAAATGAGTCTACGTCCTCAAGCCTTTGCTTTACCCAGCACATAGCATGAGTCTTTATTCAATAATGTGTTCAGTAAATAATAAATTATGTCATCAGGTCCCAATTCTCTGGAGTCTTCCTTGACAACTTCCCGAGTTTGGCCCTCTGTATCAGTTTCAATATCCTCGCTCCTGTCACCTCACGCTTTATTTCAGTGATCACATAAATCTTGCTTTGTTAAGCCTCTCTTCCTTTCAATCAATCATCCCCCCTACCAACAGATCAAACTTCTTAAAACTACTAACAAAATCAATCTAACCATATTTACATATTCTGGACAAACATATACACCAGGAGGTATGTATAAAACAGCAAGGTTTATAAACACAAAAACACTAGAAATAAAACATGTTGACAGGAGGAAAAGTATAACTGTACACATCAGTAAGAATAAATCACCCTCCGAGGTATCAAGGGGACAAATTCAGTAACATCATGTTGAACATAAGTTCACTGTAAAATATACAGTATGATTCCAGGTAAATCAAGAGTAAAAAAAGTATCAATTATGGACATTTATATGTTTAAATAATAAAAAAAGCAATGGAAAAATTAACTCAAAATTGAAAATAATGTACCCCCTGAAATATTGCGACACTGAAGGGAAGAGGATGGATAATGTATTGGGTGTAATTTTGCTAAATTTAGGAGTTATTCACTTTATGGTTATTCTTACACCTTGTCATATAGTACAAGCATTTTTTAACACTTTTTAAGATTTATTTATTTATTTGAGATACAGGGCGGGGGAGGAGTGATCTTCCATCCATTGGTTCACTCCCTAAATGGCCGCAAAGGCTGGAGCTGAGCCAATCTGAAACCAGGAGACAGAAGCTTCTTCCAGGTCTCCAACCCAGGCGCAGGGACCCAAGGACTTGGGCCATCTACTGCTTTCCCAGGCCATAGCAGAGGGCTGGATTGGAACAGGAGCAGCCAGGACTCAAACCAGTGTCCATATGGGATGCTGGCATTGCAGGTGGCAGCTTTACCCACTATGCCATAGCACCAGCCCCCAAACATTCTTTTATAGGTATATAATATATACCTATATTTTTATAGAAAATATATCTAATATATATGAAAAACATTTTCAAAATGAAGTCACACAAAGCAATCTGCCTGATCCTACATGAAAGCCTTGAAAGGGGTTGGCACTCTGGTACAGCAGGTAAAGCCACCCACACTGCCTGAGTGCGCCATCCCATGAGAGCCGGTTCAAGTCTCAGCTGTTCCACTTCCAATCCAGCTCCCTGCTAAACTGCCTGGGAAAGCAGCATAACATGGCTCAAGTCCTTGTGTTCCTGCATCCATGTGAAAGACCTGGAAGAAGCTCCTGGCTCCTAGCTCCTGGCTTAGGCCTGGCCCAACCGTGGCAATTGCAGCCATTTGCAGAGTGAACAGCAGATAGAAGATGGATAGATAGATCCCCCACCCCGTAACTCTGCCTTTTAGATAGATAGATAGATAGATAGATCGATTGACCTTAAAAAAAAAAAAAAAAAGAAAGAAAGAAAAAGAAAACCCTGAAAAAATAAGAGCACTTTTTCTAAAACAGGTAGGCTTACCAACACTGATCTGGGGATCTGGGGAACCTGAGTATCTGGCTCAAAATTGTTCAGAAACTACTTTTACCTGTTCTGATGAACCACAAATAAGTTAAACCAAGAGTTCTCATCTTCTTTTGGTCTCAACATTGTCACTTTTTTATTGACAAACATTCGATACAGCCTTTCATCTGGAATGGCCCCTGAAATGGAAATCACAATATTTTTAAACTGGTTTCTTATTTGGCTTTTAAAATTGAATATATTTTGCTTCTAAATTATGTGTTTCTCAAAGTATTTGATTTTATTATTTAGGGATATACTTGAATTCTACAATCATTTTTAAGTGAGTATTATTCTAGTTTGTTGTTATAACACCAGTTAGTTGCTTTGAAGAACATTTTCCATTTTAGGCATGCATACCTTTAAAATAAAATAGGGAACTATATTCAACTTCTCATTAATAATCCTAGTAATATTATTTTGCACTACTTTTTTTTTATTTGACAAATAGAGTTAGACAGTGAGAGAGAGACAGAGAGAAAGGTCCTCCTTCCGTTGGCTCATCCCCCCAAATGACCACTATGGCCGGAGCTACGCCAACCCAAAGCTGAGCCAAGTGCTTCTTCCAGGTATCCCATGCAGGTGCAGGCACCCAAGCACTTGGGCCATCCTCTACTGCCTTCCTGGGCCACAGCAGAGAGCTGGACTGGAAGAGGAGCAACCGGGACTAGAACCCGGCACCCATATGGGATGCTGGCGCCACAGGCGGAGGATCAACCAAGTGAGCCACGGCACAGGGCCCTGTACTATTAACTTTCTGTACATTCTAAGTACCAGTTAAGTATCCCTTATTCAAAATGCTTGCAACCAGAAGTGTTTCAGATTTTGGATTTTTTCCAAACTTGGAATATTTATATACACATAAAGAGGAATCTTATGTACAGTGGACAAGTCTGAACATAAAATTAATTTATGTTTCATATGTACCTTATACACATAGTCTGAAGAAAATTTCATATATTTTATAACTTTTATAATATTCCATGTATAAAATAAAGTTTCATGATGTACTATTTTCTGCCTTATGGCATTATATCAGTACTCAAAAAGTTCGGGATTTTGAAGCACTCCAGATTTTCAGACTAGGGATGTTTAATCTGTATCAAAAAGCATTTTGCTGATTATCCCATAACTTATATTTCCAGGATTCTATAACTGAGTCAAAAATAAAACAACAAAACATTAAATATATACCAAAGGAAAATTATGTTTTTCATCAAAGCTGTTATTAAAAGCAAGTATTGGGGCCAGCACTGTGGTATAGCGGGTAAAGCTGCCGCCTACAGTGCCAGCATCCCATATGGGTGCCAGTTCAAGTCCCAGCTACACCACTTCCGACCCAGCTCTCTGCTGTGGCCTGGGAAAGCAGTGGAACAGTGGAAGACGGGCCCAAGTCCTCATGAAAGACCCAGAAGAAGCTCCTGGCTCTTGGCTTCAGATCAGCACAGCTCCGGCTGTTGAGGCCAACTGGGGAATGAGTCAGTGGATGGAAGACCCTCTCTCTCTCTCTCTCTCTCTCTCTCTGCCTCTCCTTTTCTTTCTGTGTAACTCTGACTTTCAAATAAATAAGTAAATAAATCTTAAAAAAAAAAAAGTATTAACAGCTATTGGTCTTCATTAAATACTAAAAAGTTTTTACCAAAACCTTACATATTTTTCCAGTAAGGAATAATCAGATTTGCCTCACTTTATTCCAAATGAGTACAAAGTCATCTCTAAAATATCACTCTTCCAACTGTTTAAATAATTTTTATTAATATAATAGTAAAATAAAATCATCTTACCCAAACCATATAGAGCAATTTTTGTGGTTCCTTTTTGAAGCAAAACTGGACTAATGTCTATCTTCTCCACAGACATTGAACGTCCAAAGTGATTTATAAATCCAGCACAACTTAAAATATCCAGTGCACAGAGTGCATCTGCCTATACAAAACATTTTTAAATAATATTAACATGTATATAAAAATAAGTGATCTATATATTGTATTACTTGTTAAAAGCATATTTCGTGTACTAATTACAAAAACATAGATTAGGATAGTATCTTCTCAAAACAAAATTACAAGAATAAAAGTACTTGTCATGTTTTTCTATTACAAATCACCCACAACAACTGAAACCACACACTAAACACAGAATTAACAACTTATCAAAATGTATGATGTCTTGGACACTAAAAAATAAAAATCATTCATGAAATGAGTGCTTTGTAATACTAAGCAGACATCTAAAAACCTGGGGAAGGCCGGCGCCACGGCTCACTAGGCTAATCCTTCGCCTGTGGCGCCGGCACCCCAGGTTCTAGTCCCGCTCGGGGTGCCGGATTCTGTCCCGGTTGCTCCTCTTCCAGTTCAGCTCTCTGCTGTGGCCCAGGAAAGCAGTGCAGGATGGCCCAGGTCCTTGGGCCCTGCACCCGCATGGGAGACCAGGAGGAAGCACCTGGCTCCTGGCTTTGGATCGGTGCAGTGCACTGGCTGCAGCGCACCAGCCACAGCAGCCATTTGGGGGTTGAACCAATGGAAAGGAAGACCTTTGTCTCTCTATCTAACTCTGCCTGTCAAAAAAAAAAAAAAAAAAAAATCCTGGGGAAGATTACAGATACCAATGACCAGATAAAACAAAAAGATACTTTGAATTTAGACTCTTTGTAGTCTTAACTTCCATATCAAACAGCTATAAGATCATCTAACTTAGATTTAAGTATGCTTATGAAACAATCATTTCCTACGTGTGAGATCTCATGAGGTAAGAGATAGAAAAGCACTGGTAAACTATAAAGCATTATACAATTATCAGGTGTTTATTTCTACTGCTGACTACTACTTATTGTTAACCTCAGCACCAATGAAATACAAACACAGTTCATATACCAACTCTTAGCTTAGATTTTACAATGTTCTAAATAGCAGTATAAGCACTTACGTCAGTAACAGAAAGTCAACGTGACTTTCAGACTCACTGTGGACAAGAAGCTGCTGGGAAAAGGGAGAAGAATGCTTTCCACAGATAAACTAAACATTTCTAAAATTTCAACAAATGATAAGAACACAACAGTTACCCCAGTGGGATCATCATGATTGCCATGAATACTGAACACGGGAATTGAAATGTTGAGATTGCCATCTTGGTAGTTTACCCATGGAAATCTTGGGAGGAAAAAAAAAAATGTAAGTTTCTAGAAGAGACCAAAGCTGCTTTCACCTAAGTATCTCCTTTCAAAATATTAATGCCACCATAGGCAAACTGTATGACCTAAAACAGCAAATGACCACTAGTTCGGAGTTTTAAAAAATAAAATCATAGACAATAATTCATTTTAATTCAAGTTTGAAAATATCTCCAAGTGTAACATTTTAAAGAAAACCCAACAACAATAAATGGTGCTTATAAATTGTGTGAAAGAGTAGTATATTTGATTAATGCTTAGTTAAGAGAACTTCAAAATTCTCAAACCTTTGGTATAAAGTTTTTATTTGTAGTGGAGGGCAAGGGGGAAACATATATTTTGGAACCCAAAAGATTTAGATAAAAATAAATCTCAGCTCTCACTTCCTACCTGTACAACTTCACGTATTCTGCCCATTTCTGTCCCTGGTCCTCCCAGGTCTGCTTCTCAGAAGCAAATAACAATAACAATTTCAAGTGTATTTTTTCCAAAATTATCTTGGAACAGGCATTGTGGTATAATGGGTTAAGAAAATTCAAAAAGTATACTTACTGTCAAATAGATTATAGTGAAGAAATGACTAATTATTAATGTGTATGTGTCTTATACAGAAAATATACACAAGTAAACATTCATGCAAACCACAAAAATATACTTACTTACTAAAACCAAAGTTGACTGATTGATCACTGATAATTTCAAACTGTACAGGACGGTCACCCATACAATACTTTCTTAGTAACTCGAGGCATGTATGTAATGTTTTCCTTGAGGGTTTATTTTCATGAAAAAGATCACCACCTAACAAAATAAAATCCACCTAATGAACAGAAAATGAGGTTAAAACTAGCATGTTTTAAAGGTAAGATTTTTTAAAACTATAGAAGAGGGAGGAAAAATATCAAAAAACACTAACATTATTACAGCAATTAAAATTTTTACATACTGTTTATTCAAAGGGCCTTCCAGTCTGCTAAGTAATCTGACTCCAACAGAAGTTCCTAAATCACCTTTAAAAAAAGTCATCTTTAAGGCTAGTGCCGCGGCTCACTAGGCTAATCCTCCGCCTGTGGCACCGGCACACCGGGTTCTAGTCCCGCTCGGGGTGCCGGATTCTGTCCCAGCTGCTCCTCTTCCAGTCCAGCTCTCTGCTGTGGCCCGGGAAGGCAGTGGAGGATGGCCCAAGTCCTTGGGCCCTGCACCTGCATGGGAGACCAGGAGGAAGCACCTGGCTCCTGGCTTCGGATCAGTGCAGTGCGCCGGCTGAGGCAGCCATTTGGGGGTGAACCAACGGAAGGAAGCCTTTCTCTCTCTCTCTCTCTCACTGTCTAACTCTGCCTGTCAAAAACAAAACAAAACAAAAAAGTCATCCTTAAATTACTATACCAAGTTTCTCTCTCGAGTTACCCAAAGTGGTCATATTTTTTTTAACTCAAATCAAATTTAGCACTTTAACAAAATTATAGGAGAGATCTAATTCAATCAAAGTATCCATTCAATAATTTTTTAAAAGATCTGTTTACTTATTTCAGAGGTAGAATTACAGAAACAGAGAAAAAGGTCTTCCATTCCCTGTTTCACTCCCCCAAATGGCTGCAACAGCTGAAGCTGGGCCCATCCATGGTCTCCCACATGGGTACAGGGGCCCAAGCACTTGGCCCATTTTCTACTGCTTTCCCAGACCATAGCAGAACTGGATCGGAAGAAGAGCAGCCAGGACATGAACCATTGCCCATATGGGATGCTGGCGCCACAGGTGAAGGTTAGGCTACTACGCCACAGCGCCGGCCTCCATTCAATAATTATTAATAGCATTCCTATAGACACTGGTTCCTACAGACAAAGGAAATAGCAACCTATCCTGTTTTCACTCAACAGTGATACTGTGCAAATCCCAGTACTGGATCCTGAGGATATAATCATATTCCTACCCTAAATACCTTCAAACTCTAAAGGAAGAGACAAATTTCTATGTACTTCAACATAAGCCAGACTCTTATGTTCACTAGAGTAGATACACATGATAGATACACATGAGGCACAGTTGATCCTGCAATGAATTCTAACTCAGGAGAGGACTTTACTCTGAGGATAGAGAATCAGCAGGCAAATGCTAATAGAGAGATATTTCAGTTGTGCTGTGAAGGATAAATGAGATTTTGTAGAATAGCATCTAGGAACAACCTCAGTGAAGGAGGATCATCCTTCGAAAAAATAGTCCAACATACTTAGGCTTTCAAGTACTCAATCTAAGACACCTTTGTTCTTAATCATACAAAAGGACACCAGAATACAAAGCCCTGTGGCTACAGTAGAACTTTCATTAAAACATTCACTTTAAGCTAGGTCTTCAAGCAAGAAAGGAAAGAAGAAAGTGATCATAATCAAAGGAATGGAAGGAACAAAACAAGCAAATGAAAGATATACTGCAAGAATGAGGAGCGTTTAATAGGTGTCACTTTTACAAAATGAAAAGAGCTCTGAAAATTGGTTACACAGCAAGGTAAATGCACCTAACACTAACAAAACATAGACGATAAATTTTGTGTGTGTTTCTTGCAGGAATTCTAAAAAAAATTTTTAGACTGGTGACTCTGGGAAACACTCCCTTTCATGGGATTCCTGCCTACTGTGGAAGCTAAATCTAATCATGAGGAGCTATCAGACATATCCAAAATGACCAGTTCATAATCTTCAAAAATATCAGGATAATGAAAGATCAAGGCGAGGAGGGAAGATAGATAATAATAAACCCAAAACGTTATCCTGGGTTGAGTCACGGATGTCACAGACTTGCTCCTAAATAGGCATCACCATGACAACTGTAAACATCTTAAAATTACATAATAGTATTGCATTCAACATTCTTTTACTGGTTTTGATATGTATAGTGTGATTATACATGCAATTTACTTTCAAGTGGTTCACTAAAAAAAAGTTTGCATTTATGTGTATATGTGTGTGTGTGCATGTGTTTGTGTATAGAAAGAGGGGATAAAGCAAATCTAATAAAACATTGAAAAATCGGACTAAAGGAATTTGTATTATTCTTGCAGTTTTTCTGAAAACTGGTATTATTTCGAAGTTGTTACTGTACCTATAAAATACATGAAATCTGCTCTCTTTATATTAATAATTTTTTTAAAAAAATTTAAGTTAAAAAAAAAGACTCCAAGAAAGAAGTGAATATAATAAAGACTCTAAGTAACAATGGACTAAAAATAAAGTCAGGAAGAATTTAAACTTCAATAACAAAAAATTTAAATATAAATTTAAGGGAAAGTGCAAACATATCTGGAATTCTCAGCACGGGGTCATGGGAAGTGGACCAGTTAGGATGAGTGGATGTTGGAAAGGGAAACAGGAAACAGAGAGGAAGAAAGGTCAAAGTAAAACAAGCTTACATTCAGGGAAAGAAGTGTCTTAGAACCTAAGAGAAAGAAAGCACAGGCGGGCCGGCGCCACGGCTCACTAGGCTAATCCTCCGCCTTGCGGCGCCGGCACACCGGGTTCTAGTCCTGGTCGGGGCGCTGGATTCTGTCCCGGATGCCCCTCTTCCAGACTAGCTCTCTGCTGTGGCCCGGGAGTGCAGTGGAGGGTGGCCCAAGTCCTTGGGCCCTGCACCCCATGGGAGACCAGGATAAGTACCTGGCTCCTGCCATCGGATCAGCAAGGTGCGCCAGCCGTGGCGGCCATTGGAGGGTGAACCAACGGCAAAGGAAGACCTTTCTCTCTGTCTCTCTCTCTCTCACTGTCCACTCTGCCTGTTAAAAAATTAAAAAAAATAAAATAAAAAAAAAATTTAGAAAGCACAGGCAGGAATCTCTTGCAGGAAACAGACCTCCTTTAACCATAAGTTTGCCCTCAGGAAGGAAGAATTAATCTTAAAAGGAAATAGCACCACCCATTTTGTCAACAAATGCATGAGTACCTACTACTGTTTTATTATTACTATTTTTTAAAGATTTATTTATTTATATTGAAAGAGTGAGAGAGAGGTCTTCCATCCTCTGGTTCACTCCCCCAAATGGCTGCAATAGCCAGGGCTGGGCCAGGCTGAAGCCAGGAGCCAGGAGCTTTATCTGGGTCTCCCACGTGGGTGGCAGGGGCGAAACAGTTGGGCCATCTTGGGCTCATCCCAGGCCATTAGCAGGGAGCTGAACTGCAAGTGCAGCAACCAGGACACGAACTGGCATTACCCACTAAGCCACAATGCTGGGCCCCCTACTACTGGCTTCTAGACACTGTTTAGGTATTAGGATACAGCATGAAGAAACACAGTCTAATAAAGACAGGTAATAAATATGTAAACTCAATAACATACTTTAGATAGTGCTATGAAGAAAAGCACTATAAATAAAAATAAAATGGAGTGATATAATAAAAGAGTACTTGGAGGTTATGTCCAAAAAGCTAAAAGTTCAACTGAGAACTTCAATCAAGCCAAGATCAAGGTGCTTCAAAGCAGAGAAGCAGACCTGCAAAGGTCTCTAAGTGGAACATGTCAGTGTGAATGGAGCACTGTAAACCAGGCAACGAGCTGCAGATGAGGTCTCCTGGCAAGGATCAGATCAAGTTGAGCCTTGTGGTGTGAATCTCAGTCTATATTCAAGGGAGGACCACTGGGAAGATTTTAAGTTGCAGAATGACAGGATCTGATTTATCATTTTAAAAGTTCACTTTGGCTGCTATGCGGAACAGATATAGAAAAAAAGAATGGAAGGAGGACCAAAAAAGGAATCATTACAGTCTTGACAAAAGTCTAAAAGGTGAAGCTGCAGAATGGTGGAGGCATTCCATATGTCATTCAAGAGGAAAAGGCCTTGTAGATAAACTGAACAGAACTATGTGGGAAAGGCTGGAGATATGAATTTCTCAGTCATCAGCATTTCCATTTATTCTCCAGCCATGACCTGGGGTCTAGACTCACATTTCAACTGCTTGCTGAATGCTTTCCTGAAATGTGCTATTGACTTTCAAACTCTAAATAGGTCTAACTCAGAACTCGCCACTTTCCCACCTGAAGAAATACCTCTTTCAGATTTACCTATTTCTCTTTTGGTTAGCTCCATTTACTTCAACTATTCAGTCATGGTCACCCTTCTCCTTCATCTCCACTCCCCGTAATAACTAATCTAAGTACACAAATCCTATCTTTGTAATCTCTTTTACTCACTTCCTCTTTTCCATTCCTAAGGCCACCACTTTTTAAAATAGTCTCAAGTTGGTCTCCAGCTCATGCTCTAATAAGCTTCTGCCACATTTTCCACTGGAATGGAAACCAACCCCTCAATCTGGCATTTGAAGCCCTCCTCATCACAGCTCACACTCTCGTTTCTAGTCCTTCAGTGTACTTTCTAACTTATCAGCCAAATTCACCTGCTGGCGCCCTCACACACCTCCTGCTGTCTCAGGTCTGGGTCCTCACTGCTGCCTCACCTGGAATGTACGTTCTCTATGCTCATCCCTCATCAAAAGTCTACTCATCGTCCAAAGTCCAAGCGAAATGCCACTTCCTTCATTAAGCTCCCATTGCTACCCTCATCTAAATGAGATTTCTTCTACCTCAAAACTTCCAGGAAGTGCTATTCACGATTTTTGTAGAGCTCTCATCAAATATAACCTTGCATTAGAGTGTTCTGGATATTTATCTTAGCTCACATTTTAGTTCTTTGAAACTATAGTAGTCATCTGCACATTTCAAATAAAGTGCCACAAGATCCTGCACTCTCTAAACAACACATAAATATTTATAAATTTTAACAGACAATTTACAAAAATAGCTTCTACTTGAGTTAAAGACACAAAGCACACAAAAGTTACTTTGGACTTTTAAGTACAGTGATATTTAAACACGTGATGTGAGCACATGTGCCTACAAAACAAAGTTTTAATTTTTTTATCGGAAAAGACCCCACTGATTAAGGCAATTAGTAGAAACTGCATAGATGTTAAACCAAACTCACTTCATTTTCCTGGGCAAGTCTTAAAATTTCATCAAGTGTGACAAACGTATCATTTCCTCTGACTGCATCTTTCTCCATAAATCCAAGATGAATATCAGTTGCAACTAAGATTTTAAATGTATTTTCATCATCACTGTATTAAGAAAAAATTCCAATACAAAACATTATACAGATATTGAAGCAAATGATATCTAAACATAGAATATATAACAAGTTATGGAGTAAAATAATTTCTTTTGTCTTAAACTTGGTCTGAAAATTTGACATACTCAACAGATCTTTAACATCACATATTTTCCTAACTATTAATTCAATACAGAATAAATGTACATAAAATTTTTAAATCTTCTCTGCTTCAAAAATTTATAACCTTGAAACCAGTTTTATATATTTGCAAAGTAATGTGGACCTGAAAGCTTGTTTTCCACCACAAAAGCCCAAGAGTTAGACCCCTATATCAAAACTTTCTATTTATAAGATTTTGCATTTTTTCAGGAAAAATCAGAGTTAATGTAAAAAGGCATTCTCCAAGTTTATAAGTAGACTTTAAACTAAGATAATAGTAACTTATATTCAGGCCCTCGAAAACACTCGACTCTACCCTCTACAGAATTAGTTTTTCATTAATAAATTTGGCCAAGCTCGCCGGCGCCGCGGCTCACTAGGCTAATCCTCCGCCTAGCGGCGCCGGCACACCGGGTTCTAGTCCCGGTCGGGGCGCCGGATTCTGTCCCGGTTGCCCCTCTTCCAGGCCAGCCCTCTGCTGTGGCCAGGGAGTGCAGTGGAGGATGGCCCAGGTGCTTGGGCCCTGCACCCCATGGGAGACCAGGAAAAGCACCTGGCTCCTGGCTCCTGCCATCAGATCAGCGCGGTGCGCCGGCCGCAGCGCGCCAGCCGCGGCGGCCATTGGAGGGTGAACCAACGGCAAAGGAAGACCTTTCTCTCTGTCTCTCTCTCTCACTGTCCACTCTGCCTGTCAAATAAAAAATAAAAAAATAAAAATAAAAAAAATAAAAAAAAAATAAAAATTAAAAAAAAAAAATTTGGCCAAGCTAAAAAATTGTTTCAATTCAAATGACATTTGGTAATACTCAAGGGTACTTTGATATGAAGCAGCAATGTAATAGTTATTAATGCCCTCTAAGCATAATATAATTTTTATTCTTTAAAACAGTTTTATAGCTATGATCTCATCTCCTCCCATATAATTATTATTACCTCAGAGAAAAAAATGAGTATGCTTAACACAGAGAAATTAACTGATTTATTGCCCAAATAGTGGCAAAAAAAATTCACATTGAAAACTTAGGCTGGGGGCCAGCATTGTGGTGTAGCAGGTAAAGCCACCACCTGCAGTGCAGGCATCCCAGGTGGGCACCGGTTCCTGTGATGGCTGCTCTACTTCCAATCCAGCTCCCTCGTAATGTGCCTGGGAAGGCACCAGGGTGGCCCAAGTCGTTGGGCCCCTGTACCCACGTGGGAGACTTAGAAGAAGCTCCTGTCTTTGGATTGGTACTGCTCTGGCCATTTCAGCCATTTGGGAAATGAATCAGCAGATGGATCTTTCTCTCTCTCTCTCTTTTCTCTTCTCCTCTTTCTGTAACTCTGCTTTTCAAATAAAACAAATCTCAAAAAAAGTTCAAATTTCTTACAAAAAAAAAAAAAAAACTCAGGCTGTTTTCACAAAGCCATAATGAACATTATCCAAAAATATTTCAGCAAATATTTCAGAAGCTTAAAAAATGATATGTACACTTTCTAATTACTTTTTGCCAACAAATACATCAGATCACATTACTATATGTTTCCATAACACCTTATAAAGTATTTTCACATATGCTCTCCCATTTAAACCTCAAAACTTATCTAAGAAGGACATTAGTATCCCAATTAAACAAATGCAGAAATTAAGGCAAGGTTCAGAAAATTCCTGACTTGTCCTAGATCTTTAGGCTATTACTGACCAAGGAGTTGAACACAGATGAGACACGAAGTCTAAAGCTTTTTCTACATAACTTTCATGGTCTTTTTATTTATTTCCAATTTACTTAAGCTCATTTCCAGCTTATTCAATACTAGAGCTATTTACTCAAAAAATCTTAAAAAGAACCACACTAGTAGGATTTCATCAAGAAAAATTTAGTATTTTAAGACTAAGCCAAGGAACATAAGCTTGTGTACTACAGCAACAAATGAAATTGGTGCAAGACTCTGATCTATAACTGTATATTATCTTTTAGCTAATAAATATACTTTTGATAACAATTCTAATTGCAAATTATTTATTTACTGCTCATTTATTAAATAAACTTTCTTTAATGGTGATGCTAATTGATGGGATTTGGAAACACCAAGGCAAGGAGTCGAGTCACACGCTCACAGTGTATCTGCAGGACTCATTGTCACCGGGACAAGGTTCTTCTCCAGGTACTCAGGGTATGTTCAAATACGTCAGAAAATCCACTCTGTTCCTAATTCTAAAAAGAAAATTATATAGTGCACATTGAAAAAGTCACCAACACGATTTAGGCTACAAAGAATAGACTTCTTAAATATACAGACTAGAAATTTTGGAAAAACTTCATTTCCATCTAAGCACTTCTGTGCTTTTACTTTTTAATGAGCTTAGAAAACACAATTCCAGTGCCATTCTAGAGACACCATGATGATTAAACTTAGCTCCTTTTTCGTTTTTATTGCTCTTTTGGGCAATTAATGTACGTTCAATAAATGGGCAAAATGGGTCACATAGTGTTGCTTTAGCAATCAATCAATCCTGGACGTGCAGAACTGTTTGCGTGCCCTGGCTACTTAGGGCAAGGAGGCAACTTCGTATTTCCTGCTCAAACACAAGACTTTATAAAGGAGCGGTTTTGTTTCGAAGTAAGGGCTTTCGCGTTTAAAGCTAGCGCGAATAAACAAACACGTGGCCTGCACAGAAACAAGCTTTCACGTGAAAGCCCGGCCCGGCGGTCCTGGGGAGCGGCTGCCACCCCGGAACCCCACGCCCGTCAGGAGTCCCAGGTCGGGTCGCACAGCACCCTCTGAGGCAACCATGAGGAATCCTCTAACAGCCCTCTCCAGACAACCGGGCCCGTCTTCCCAAAGCATCTAATTCATTCTGGGCTTCCACCCGAAAACCGACACAAACAGAAGACGAATACGATTTCTAAATTACCCCACAACCGGATTCTTCAAAGCCCCACCTTCGGGACCTGAGACTACCTTCTATCTGGGAACAAGGGGCAAGTTTCCGGAGACGAAAAACAAACAGCAGTGCCTCGCCTGGCGTCTGCGAACCTACTCCGCCACAAACCTGAATTAGGCGCGACAGAGTGCCATCTGCTTCTCTCGCGATACCTCGTTGATGACGTAAACAACGCGAGTCCTCTTCAGTTTTCATTGGTTGCCGAAAGCTATAAGGGGGCGGGCAAAGTTGCAGCGAAAATTCGCCGCCGTGCCAGAGCCAATCCTGTGCAGCCAAGGGAACGAACCCGGAAGCGAGGTGAGCGACAGCGATTTTTGGCTTCGGAAGGTGGGTAGCTTTTCCCGGTCCTGGCCCGCGGTCAGTGGTAGAGTCGCGCCGACAGAGAACCTCTGGGTCTATAGGGGCCGTCCCCTGCCGACTCCGGCTGAAACCTTGAGGTCGGATCGCGTTAGAGTCTTTGCTAGGGCCGAAGAAGCCTCTCTGCTTTGGCTATTCCAAAGGCCCCAGGCGCGACTTGGCAGGCCTGCGGGTGACCAGGCCTTGTCTGGAGCCTCTGGTTTGCAGGTTTTTATCCCGTCCTTTCCCACGTTGTCGCCCCCCGAATCCCCGTTTTCAGAGCATAGCATCTGTTGTTGTTTTGTGCTGAGAACAGTAAATTACAGTGTAGTGAAAAATCGTGTGGAACTTCTGAATTAGAATCTGGCCTTTCAGATTCATTGACTGGCCCTCGGTTCAGGGCGAGTTGTCTTAAGCTATCCAAACCTTAGCGCCTTGACCTGTAAAATGGGGTTTACAGCTGCACTTTTATTGAGTGGTTTGTGGGGCATTGACATAGTTTGGATCGCTGTAAAAATGATCTAAATCTTTACTAGCAAACACGCCTACCACTCGTGGTGGAATACCATCAAATAAAAAAATGTAATATTTATTTCTTTATTTGAAAGTCAGAGGTAGAGAGAGGGAGAGACCAATCTTCCATCTACTGGTTCACTCCCCAGATGTCCACAGCTGGTCTCCCATGTGGATGTCAAGAACCCAAGCATTTGGGCTGTCTTTCCCTGGCTTATTAGCAGGGGGTTGGATGGGAAATAGAGCAACCAGGACACAAAACTGCACAGGTATGGGAGACAGATGTCGCATGTGGGGTGGCTTAACCCACTGTGCCACAATAACCTGTCCTTCAAATAAAAATCTTGATCTTGTTTTTTTTCTAACTGAATCAAGGCGATACACCTGGATTTGACTTTTTAACATTAAATTTACCAAGAAAATTTGATACGTAATTCATTGTGTCTGGAACCGTAAATTCAGAATTTATATAAAGGGAATTTTATAAAAAAGGAAAGGGAGGAGATCTATAATGGTGCTACATTTGCTATAATTGAAGTGAACTTTATGGCATCTCTTACATGTTTAATGAATTGATGTATGATCACTTTTGCGTTGCAAGGTTCAGGAAATAATGTGAGGATCCTGGCTTCAGATCGGCCCAACTCCAGGGCCATGTGGGGAGTGAACCAGCAGATAAAAGGCCTTTCTCTGTCTCTCCTTCTCTCTGTCTATAACTCTTACCTCTCAAATAAATAAATAAAATCCTCTTTAAAAAAAAATACACACAAGGCAGTTCTGATGGAGTCTCAGTAAGCTCTGAAAAGTTGGAAGAGTGTTAGAAATCCTTTCTTGCATCCTTACGTTTTGCAGTGAAGTAACAGGCCCAGAGAAATTACTGCTGATGAGTGATAGACTTAAAACTTGAATTTAGTGGTCTTGCCTCTAGTAATAAAATTTAATAACACATTAAGACCGTATGCTATTGGGCTGGTGCTATGGCACAGCAGGTTAAACCTGCCTACAGCCGACATCCCATATGGGTGCTGGTTCTAGTCACAGCTGCTCCTTTTCTGATCCAGCTCCCTGCTGATGGCCTGGGAAAGCAGTGGAAGATGGCCCAAATCCTTGGGCCCCTGCACCCACATGGGAGACTGGGAAGAAGCTCCTGGCTCATGGTTTCTGCCTGACCCAGCCCCAGCTTTTGTGGCCATTTGGGGAGTGAACCAGCAGATGGAAGATCTCTCTGTAACTCTGCCTTTCAAATAGATAAATAAATCTTTAAAGAAAAGAAAAAAGACTGTATACTATTAAACTTGTGAGATTAGGTAGAAAGAAATCAATATTTTGGGCATATGATTAACTTTGAATCATTCATGAATAGCTTTTCAGAATCCATTCCAGGCAAAATCAAGTGATAAGATCCTAATTTAATGCAACAGATATTTCTGCTGTATACCAGTGGTCCCTAAATATAAGTTAAATATGGTTCCTAGCCTTAAGTTTATCGTCTTTTAAGGGGCTAAGACAAGTACAAAGTTCATGGTGAAATAAAACAAAATACTTGCACCAAAACAACTAGGAAGCAGAAAGAGATCTAATTGGGCGGATCAAGAATGGAAGAGGTAACATCAGAAAAGAGCCTTAAAGTACTAATAAGTTTCAACTAATTGGGATGCTAAGAAATGGTATTAAAATATCAGTTATTGTGATTTTTCTTTAATTGATTAAAGTTTAATATACTGTGTAACTCTTGAAGCTGATCGTGGTTTATAAATTAATACGGTAGCTTAGCAGAATAAATATTACTTCCTTCAGAGAACCTTCTTTAATGCCTTAGAACCGGATAAATTATTACTCTCTCATATAGTTATGGTATCCTCACTTGCTCCTGTTATAGTATTTAGTATGCTGTCTTTGCCAGTCACCTCTATTAGATAGTAAACTTCTTGATAAGACATAGATTTGTTCATTGTGGAATCTCAGTACCCACAGACTGGCACATATCATATTTGTTGAGTGAAGGAGTGAATAACAGCCAAAATTCTGTTCAAAACCAGGAGCCAACTAGAACTATAGCTGTCTATCAGTGAATAGGACTACTTTTTAAAACAGATGTTGTGATGAAGATATGTGCATTGATAGAGACTTGGAACTGTAAGTTTTGGTTTCTGCCCTTAATTGTCTTCCCTACAAAAATCTCAAATGTGCTTGTCTGTGTTGCATTATATTTTTAAAACTGTAAGCATTCATTTCTCTTAGCATACCATCATTCCTAAACTAGTAGATTTGAAATAATAGAACCATCAACTTAGTAAAAGAAAACAAGACACTTTAGATCTTTAAAGATCATTGGTAACTTAAATCTGTCAGCTCCAATATTTAGTATATGTAGCAGATATCATTAGAGAAACACAGAGGAGTTTAGACAAGGTTCATTTGTATATTTTTACAAGATTGATCTATGCTGTTGATAAAGCCTCAATTACAGTTTTGCTAAGTATTGTGTTTTTCTTTTCAGATCTTGATGAATCAAACCTTGATATTTGAAATGCATTTTATTTAGAGTAGTGGTAAAAATGGAAAAAGATAACATAAATGAAGATGAAAAACCAGACCCAGAGAGTTCCTTGGAGTTTTCTGAGCACTTTAACCAACTTGAATTATTGGAAACACATGGACATCTTATTCCCACTGGTACTCACAGTCTTTGGGTGGGCAATTCTGATGATGATGAAGAGCAAGATGAAAATGAAGAGTGGTATCAACTGCAAGAAAAAATAATGGAAAAAGATCCAAGCAAATTGCTACTTTGGGCTGCTGAAAAAAATCGGGTAAAAAAAAATTAAAATTAAAGTGGGAACCATTAAATAGCAGGAAAAGTATTGGGTTGGGAGCCAGAAAATCTGCTCTTGAACTTAGTTTAACTCTGGGCAAATTCTACTACTTCTGAACCTCTGTTTTCTTATCTGTAAAAAATGGCCATCATAATGCCCATCTCTTTGCTATAGGATTGTGAGGATCAAAATGAGGCAATGTGAGTGAAAACACACACTAAGCTAGAAAGTGTTATGTTAGGTATTATTTGAGAGTTTAAGGGCAGTTATCTATAAAAATAGTAACATCTGCATTTAGAAGTCATTTCTATGAAGTCAGTAGAATTACCTTAAAGATAAATATCATTTATGAAACGGAAAATGGGAATTAATATTTATTATTAAATACCAACCCCATTTATACCAGGTGCCTTACTGTATTACTTTGTTTAATCTTCACATTTCCCTGTAAGATAGGTAACAGTCTTCCCTTTTACAGACTAAGAAATTGAGATTTGGCAGTAGTAATTTGCACAGTGTCATCCATATAGAATTAGCATCAGGTGTCTATTCCTTCCCCTTGGGCTCTAGTATTTCATTTTGCTAAGTTCCCTCATATCTCTTTAAATAAACTGGTAACTAAAAGAGTATTGTGCATTTTTGAATAGCTTTTTAACTCAGAGTACACTAGCTCACCAGAGGTCCATAGACCAAACAGAAAATCACTACCTGAAGATAGGCTTCTAAGGTATTTAGAAGAAATTGAGCTTTTTAATCCATAGATTCCTTGTCACTATTTTATTCTTCTGTTAAATCTTATTTTTAAGTTTCACATACTATCTGTATTTATATTATACTCCTGTTACAGAAAAAAATCATTTTTTCACAGCTAAATTGTGAAATACAATTATAGCCTGTATTATTCACCTAGGACTAAAGCTTTTATGCATAAGCTTTAATTGGACCAAGAGTGACTATAAGGTTTGAGATTTAGACTCACACTCTTAGAAGCAACAGAGTGCCTACAGTTCATTTAATAAATTACTCACCATTACTTTACAAAACACAGATCTTAAATTATTTTCAAGTCATCTGCTAACAAGTTTTTATTTAGCTTAATTAAATCTAACACCACTAGACAGTTTTCATTTTTGAATTTTTAAAAGATCCATTTTTTTTTTCTTAGCTTACTACAGTGCAGCGAATACTTTCTGAAAAGGCCAGTCTTGTGAACACTAGAGATGAAGATCAATATACTCCTCTTCATCGAGCAGCCTACAGCGGACACTTGGATATTGTCCGTGAGCTGATTGCTCAAGGGGCAGATGTGCACGCAGTGACTGTGGATGGCTGGACGCCCTTGCATAGCGCTTGTAAGTGGAATAATGCCAGCGTGGCTTCTTTCTTACTTCAGCATGATGCGGATATCAATGCCCAAACAAAAGGCCTCCTGACCCCCTTGCATCTTGCTGCTGGGAACAGAGACAGCAGAGATACCCTTGAACTTCTCCTAATGAACCGTTATATTGAACCAGGCCTAAAAAACAACTTGGAAGAAACTGCGTTTGATATCGCCAGGAGGTCAAGTATCTATCACTACCTCTTTGAAATTGTAGAAGGCTGTACAAATTCTGTACCTCAGTCTTAATGTTTCTAGTAATTTTCTTAAGTGTCTAAGTAGTAGTGCCTCCTTTGTGTGAGATGTAAAATATTCCCCTAATACAAAGTTAACATCAAATGTCTTACTGAAGAAAAAATCATTGGGACTCACTTTAATGTCTGTCCAAGTGAATTGCCTGATCTTAATGTCAAAATGTATTTGAGAGTTGCTTGGATATATCTTTAATGATTTCTGTGGAGTTTGTGATTTTTCTCAGAAATAGTTTCAATTAAGTATACTTAAGAATTTGACACAGGTTGTACAGAAACTAAAGATATTTTTGGTGCTGATCTAAAAGAAATATATTTTTAAATGTCCCATATCTTGTTTTTTTTTGAGTATTTATTATATTGACATGTATTTTTATAAGGTATAATAATTCAGAATGTAATTTTTTAAATATACTGTTGCAGTTCAGCTGTCTTCTCTATATGTCCATCTCTAGTTGCTTTCATTTTAAACCAGGAGAACTAACATTTTAGTGACTTGAATCTTCACAAGTTAAACAAAAATCCCAAAACATAGATCTTTGTTATTTTTAGAACCATTTTACAAACCATTATTTAGAAACCATTTTTAGGAAAGCACTTAGCCAGGTTTTTATCCATAAATGTTGTATAATGCCTTGTCTACTACAATTCACCCAATCCTGCATCACACTGGTCAACCTGTGATATCCTTATACTTACGGTAAGTCAGTAGGACCTGTTAGACATGCATATAACTGTAGCTTGGCCCAGGACATCATAGTATATCTAATCTCCAACTGGGTTTACCTGCCTAATCCTCCTAGGCCGGGCTCTTTTCATACAGTCTCGTGAATTCACAGGAGATGTTGATTTTCTAAGGTACTCGTTTTGTACAAACCATACAAAGGCAAATTGACAAGGGAAAAGGAATCCTAAGAATAAGAAGGATGGTTATTTTGACACTAGAACCACAAAGTGTTTCAAGTTTAAAAAAAAAAAAAAAAAACTATTTGTGGATAGTAACAAAAAGCATAAATATAAATATTCAGTAAAAATAAAGTACAAGTTTTGATAATCAAAAAGGCACAAACGGCTTTTTCACCTACATATATCTTCAGTGGATCTGTAACATACTTATTCATACAGTGTACTTTTTTAAAGATTTATTTTATCTTATTTGAAAGGCAGAGTTACAGAGAGGGAGAGACAGAGAGGGGGCATCTGCTGGTTCATTCCAAATAGCCACAATGGCCTGGGCTGGGCCAGGCTGAAGCCAGGAACTTCTTCTGAGTCTCCTTCATGGATGCTGGGGTCCAGGTAATCGGGTCATGCTCTGCTGCCTTCCCAGGTACATTAGCAGGGAGCTGGATCAAAAATGGAGCACCCAGGTCTTGAACTGTTGTCCATATGGGATGCCGGTGCTGCTGGTGGCAGCTTAATCCACTACACCACAATGCCAGCCCCCTATGTATTGTACATTTATTTAGTATCTACTTTTGGTCTCTCCAGTTCAGTTTCCCATTGACTACCTGTCTGAATATTCCCAAGTTCCCAAAAGGTCTTCTCTTAACTGCTCTACACCAGAACTAACATCCTAGAGGAAGGTAGCTAAATCAGTTCCTCTTCTCTTCAGTTCTGTTTTTAAGATAACAGGTTAAGCCTCTGCTTGCAACATCAGCATCTCTTATTAGAATTCCAGTTCAAGTCCCTGCTCCTCCATTTGTGCTTCAGCTTCCTGCTTATGTGCCTGGGAAGGCAGTGGAAGATGGCCCAAGTGCTTGGGCCCTGCCTCCTGTGTTGGAGACAAGGGTAGAGCTTCTGATACCTGGCTTCATCCTACCTCAACTGTGTGGCCACTTGAGGAATGAACCAGCAGATGGAAGAGGTCTCTCTCTATTACCTTGCCTCTCAAATAAACCATTTTATTTTACACACAGCCTACTTTGTGACATAGTGGGTTAAGCTGCCACCTGCAATGTAAGCATTCAATATGAGTGCCAGTTAGTGTTCCAGCTGCTCTACTTATGATCCAGCTCCCTGCTAATGGCCTAGGAAAAGCAGCAGAAGATGGCCCAGGTGTTTGGGTTCCTGCTACCCACATGAGAGAGCCAGATGAAGTTCTTCGCTTATGGCTTTGGCTTGGCCCAGCCCTTTCCTTTGCAGCCAACCAGCAGGTGAAAGATTGATCTCTGAGTTTCAAATAAACAAATCTTTAAAAAATGAAAAATGTCCACCAAGGTTTGTCACTTCTGAGTAATCCATTATGACACAGTCACCCTAGACTTCATAGAAATGTTATTTAATCAAATATATGTGGCATTTCTTTGATTAGAAAAAACTATAATTATCTCAGGAAAGTTTATATATGAACTGAATTGTTATGACAAACAGAATCACGAAAGTTAGGAGATCTTCAATTATTTCATGATCTCTGGCTAGAACATGCCTCAGTTTCAAAGTATAAATATCTCTGATGGGGCTGGCACTGTGACACAGCAGGTTAAACTGCTGCCTGTGGCGCCATTTTGAGTCCCATCTGCTCCACTTCCAATCCAGCTCCCTGCTAGTGTGACTGAGAAAAGCAGTGGAAGATGGCCCAATTGCTTGAGACCCTGCACCCAAATGGGAGACCCAGATGAAGCTCCTGGCTCCTGGCTTCTGCCTGACCCAGCGTAGCTCATTACCGTCATTTGGGGAGTGAATCAGTGGATAGAAGGTTCTCTCTCTCTCTCTTGCCTTTCAAATAAAATAAATAAATCTTTAAAATAAATAAGTATCTCTAATGCAAGGGTTTTGGCAAAAAGGTTTGCTTACTCTTTAATGTGGCCCAAGTGACACCAGATGACAGGTAATGTTGACAGTGATGGTAGAATAGGACTCCATCTGTCCCAATAAAGTTGCTCAACAAGACTGCCTGATTATCTGAAAATAACAAGATCTTTGGCTTAATTCATGCTTGAGAATGGGTTGCATCCATTGTTTTATGTAAACTTTCCATTTAAGTATGGGGCCAAAGGACCGTCTTTTCTAATTAAGGAGCTGAGATGTAACCACTGCCTTGTTTTTAGGTCTCAGCATTCACCAATGCTGGAGGACAAGCTCTGCATACAAGAGAGACCCCTTCTTGGGGGGCAGAATTTGTATTCTTTGCTCCCTTAATTATTCTCTTAGTATTTGCTAGACTCCTCTGCCCATGGAAGACATTCACTAATCATGCTATCAACTGTGTTACATTCCTGTACTTTCCAGTTTATGTAGGCTACATCAGTTTGAAAATATTCTGTAATCTTGGAAAGTTGATCCAAAGGCTTTTAAAAAATAAAACATGTATTTTGTAACTAAGGGCTTAATTTTGGTTAACTTACAGGCTTGAGGAAGAGGTGACTTTTGACACTATTCAAGAGATATATCATAATTTACAGGCTCACAGTGAAACTAGTTGGGCTTTGCTTTTACAAATCTCGAATACATTTCTCCAAGGAGTCTTCATGGGACATAGCCTGCCATAGCATTGGACTTCAAAGTCTTTATACTATAGATGTAAGGAGCCTTATTTATTTCTGCTTATTGGCATCTATTGTGGCATCCAGAACTGTGGTAGAAGCCCAGAGAATGCTCTGAGACTTTTTTTTTTTTTTTTTTTTTTTTTTTTTTTTTTTTTTGACAGGCAGAGTGGACAGTGAGAGAGAGACAGAGAGAAAGGTCTTCCTTTGCCGTTGGTTCACCCTCCAATGGCTGCCGCGGCCGGCGCACCGCGCTGATCCGATGGCAGGAGCCAGGAGCCAGGTGCTTTTCCTGGTCTCCCATGGGGTGCAGGGCCCAAGCACTTGGGCCATCCTCCACTGCACTCCCTGGCCACAGCAGAGGGCTGGCCTGGAAGAGGGGCAACTGGGACAGAATCCGGCGCCCCGACCGGGACTAGAACCCGGTGTGCCGGCGCCGCTGGCGGAGGATTAGCCTAGTGAGCCGCGGCGCCGGCTCTGAGACTTAATATCTCATACCAGAGTAACATTTCTAGATCAACTGTCAATTCCTGATCAACACAGATACCATCTTCATTCTGCGTGAAATGGCTCCAGGAGTTTATGGAGCTTTTTTGTAAAATGGGATCACAAAAAATATCAATTATGTTTTAACCACATTATCATGGGATGCTCTAATTCTTCTGTAGGATTCCTAGATGACCAACTTGTACAATTCAAATATCTCCATAGGAATTTAAGACCTATGTTTAAGTTCAAAGGCAATAAACTAAGAAGACTTGAATGTAGCTGAGTGATGTTTTTAATTTCTTGAAAGTTCCATTGGAAACCCTGAATTTTTACTTCTGGAAACTTAAGTAGAAATGGTCTAAGTCAGTACTATTGCATAGGAACATAATGTGAACCATATAGGTAATTTTAAGTTTTTCTAGTAGCCACATTAAAACAAGAAAAGGGTGAAATTAACTTTAAGAATGTATACTTGGCGGCACTGCGACTCAACAGGCTAATCCTCCACCTAGCGGCGCCGGCACACCGGGTTCTAGTCCTGGTCAGGGCGCCGGATTCTGTCCCGGTTGCCCCTCTTCCAGGCCAACTGTCTGCTGTGGCCCGGGAAGGCAGTGGAGGATGGCCCAAGTCCTTGGGCCCTGCACCCGCATGGGAGACCAGGAGAAGCACCTGGCTCCTGGCTTCGGATCAGCGCGGTGCGCCGGCCACAGTGTGCCAGCCACCGCGGCCATTGGAGGGTGAACCAACGGCAAAAAGGAAGACCTTTCTCTCTGTCTCTCTCTCTCACTGTCCACTCTGTCAAAAAAAAAAAATGTATATTTAACCCAGTACCTCGAACATCATCATTTTAACATGAAGTACATATTTAGAAATTATTGAGATTTTTTTACATGCTTTCGTGTAGGAAGTCTTCAAACTACATTAATTTGCAGCACCATTCACTGCAGACTAGCCACATTTCAAGTTCTCAATATACACATTTGATGGTTGGCTACTCCATCAAACAGTGCCCATCTAGTATGCCTGAGACTGGAGGCATAGCAGGATGCTTACATCAAGTCAGACAAATCTGGTTTCAAATCCTGATATTCACTTATATGCAACTTTGGGCAAATAATCTCAATTTTTCTCACACAAAATTTACCTAGTTGCAGTGTTATAAGGAATAAATCCGAATATGTGGTTGATGTACTCTTAATTAGTAGGTATTTTTAAGTGGTATCGAGTGGTTTCTTTCCCAAGTTTTTTAAGCGGATGTGCCTTTCCCATTTTAGCTATTCAGATCTTTAAAGAGCCCATACAGCTCTCCCTTTTATAATCCCCATGGTTCTCTCTCACGACTTTCAGTATAATTTGCAGCATTGAATTTCAAGAATCCAAGCAACTCCATTCTCAGAGAAAGTATTTGCCCCATTTTTAAAGCCACAAGCCAGATATTAATGTTCTTACTCTAAAAGAAAGAAAACTCA